TCAGCAGCTCGGATCACAAACTGCTATGAGGTTTTTTTAACGGCAGTCATGCACACAGACACCCAGCAAAGCGCCTGTCATCCAGTGGCTCCTTGAGAGACTGGCTTTAAATATATTTAAAGGTATTTAAACAGATAACACTCGAGAATTCTTAATCTGGGACTTTCCATACACACCATAGATCAATGTGCTATTTCTGATACTATTCAAGATTTTATCTCCTTTGAACTTCTTTCATCGGGGTTGGGGGAGGACTTGGGCTTTATCTTCAGGGACAAAGACAAGCCTCTAACAGACACAGGCAAGAACTTTTGATCATTTCACTGCTCATGTTAGAGGAGGATTAGAAAGAATTTTTTCTCCCCGAGACCTAACAAATTTGAGAGCGTGGGGTTTGGGGTAGTGGGTGAGAAGGGCAGGGGTTCGTCTCCCAGCAGGTCAGGGACTGATAGGAGAGCATGAGAAGTGCCTGATGTCAACCTAATCACAGGCTGGTAAACAAAGCAGAGAGTCCCACTTCTCACTGAAGCAACACTGGAAGTATTCAGGTGAAGGTACCAGCTAAAAATCCTGGGCTTGTGTCTCTTGATGCCAATACAGCCAGGCACCTCTCCCAGCTACTTAAAATGCAGACAAAACAGGGGGTCTGGGGTCCTAGCAACAGCCTGGGGACCATGACTCAAGGTGTGAGAGAGGCTTCACAGTTCTGTCGGCGAAAGAGATGGAGACAAGGGAGGAAGGAATAATAAGCAGCAGTAGAAGCAGCCTGATACAGACAATTGCTAGATAATTTTACCAGGTAGCCTGGACTTTATTATGCTACATCCAACATGTAGGACTATAACCCCTAGATTTAAAAATAAACCCTCTGGGCTTTCCTTGATGAGCCAGACACGTGGGAGGGGGACAGTGTCAGCAGGGGCCAGCTCTGGTGTTCGGTATCTGCCACTCACTTCCAAATGGAAACATGCTGGCTGTTAGCGTTATAGATGATTATCAAAGGGAAGCAATGGAAGAGTCTCTACAGCCTCTGCAAATGTTTAGCGACGCTATCAAGGGACACAGATGTACAGCCAAGAGCACAGCAGCTCCCACATACGCTTTTTCTGTTTGGATTTCCTGTTCACAGTTGCTACTCTAAGCTCCATGTTTCCTTACTTTAGGAAAAAGAAAGAATCCAGCCGGATTTCCAGATCTTTGACAACTCACAGGCCACGACAACTGCTGGGTGATTGCTCTACGTGTAATTAGAGGTTACAGTTACTCCTCTAAGCAGTAATTAGGACTGCAATTATTCCTTCCAGCTCATCACTACTACTTGCTGCTTAACTCCAAACTGGAGATGATGCCCCTAAGGTCTGTACTCTGATGTCACATCCAGCCTCTTAATCACCTTTAAAACTGTTTTGCATTACTTCAGCCTCCCAAGAAAAGCATGCCCGAGAAGAGTCCCTCTCTTTTTATTTTCCTTGCTTTTCTTTGGCGGCACAGCTCTATCCACCTTCTGACTGCGTGGGTTTTCAGGGTACTCCCTCCACGAAGGTGAACTCAGCGCAGTTCTGATTCACGGAATTGCACCCAGTTCACCCAGACCTCAGAACTGGCCTGTGTAAAACGAAACAGCCACAAACTGGCACCTCACCAAAACAAAAAAGATACCTGGCCTATTCAGTCAGTTCTTCTGCTTCTCTTCTGCCAGTTGATGCTTCCTCTCTGCCAAAGCTTGCCAGCAGTTTGGGAAGGTCTCCGGGCAGCTCTCTTGTTCACCAGCACCTGTCAGTCGGGAGCTGCCCCGTCAGAGTCCTGCATCAACACCTCAGCATCACCAGTACAACTTTTACACCATTACAGACACTACATCGACAGGTTCATAAAAATACCAACTAAAAAATAAAAGTCTCTAGATATTAAGACTGCTGAAACAGAATGACATGTATCTACCCACCTTTATTTGGAGAAGAGTTGACTCCAAACAGGTTGCCTAATGTTTCAGGGTATGTCCCAGAGGAGACTCTGATAAGGAGGGCAGATCTAGGTGCCTTCAGGGAGAGTCTGTAGGCGGCCAGAGCAGGGCAGGAATCCCAGGCCAATGCTTTCACTGGGACATTGTCAAAATTAATAGTCACAGGGTAACTCCCGTGGGCACATTCTCTGCCCAAAGCCAGTTAGAAATGTTTACAATAATAATTACAATAACAATTCTTACCTGCTCACACATAGACCTACCTTCAAGTTACATTAAGCTGGTTTTTTAATATGTTTTAAAAGGCACATCCTCCTAGAACAGATCAAACTTTTCAAGCTTGATCCATTCAGCCACCTGACACCCCAAGGCGATTCACATTTGTTTCCTGAGGCAGCAAGGATTATTTGTTTCACAGCATTTGGTACCACGCGGAAGCCAAGAGCTGTCCTTGCTAATGCCAGAAGAGGGAAATCAAACTAAGGAATCTTAAGAACTTTTTGGCTGGATTGAAATCTAAGTGCCTGGCAGATGACTGTGGATTTCTCAAAACCAAGGTCTGTGGGAAGTGTCCAAATTGCAGCTGTCCTTACATCAGTCTATCAAATAAAGAGGAGCGCTTGCAGTTGAAGTGTTAATATATATCGGTATTCGTCTTAGGACATTTTAAAAAAATGGCTATTATCTACAAGAGAAAAACAGATTAAGGAGTACTTTATGAACATTTAAAGAACATCAGGTAATATACTGTCTCATTAAGATGGCAACATGCAGCACTGCTGGCTCATTTATTAACGACCAACCGCTGAACTGAAGTCATGGTTAGAGCACAGGGTTGTTTGTTAGCTGTCAGAGTTAATACTAGCAAAGCTGAGCTGCCCAGATTTCATTTCCATAGAAAATATTCTTCAGTCTGCAAGCAAAAAAAAAAAAATCCCTACCCAGTTTGAAAGAGATTTGATTCCTGCAGATCAGCCAGTTATAGAGAAATTTTCTTTTTTAAACGTTCCCTTCAGGCATAACTAGGGAATTAACAGCTGAAGTGGAAGAAATGGATGAAATCTATTTGAGTATAACGAACTTACGAAGAACAAAGGCTGGTAAAAGCAGAATTTACCCCCCAGGGAAAGAAGTGAAGTTTTAGAAACATCAGACACTGCCAGGAGAGATTTAAATGTCATCTCCATCTTCAGAATATTGTACCTACCTCAACAAAAAGAGAACCACTGCTGCGTAATGCTCCAGGTTGTCTTTGACAGGTACATCATCTTTGACAGATGATGCATTTTCATCAAGAGCTCCATACAAGACCTTTACTTAACCATTGTGCAACACAAACCCATGACAGCATCACCCTGATCTCATACTCAGCAAGTGGGCAGTCTGCAAGACAGGTAATCAAAGTCAATGTTTCAGTTTTACACTGCACAGTGCTCTGCAAGATTTGCCTTGCTCATCTGAGGCGATAACAAGGTCTGTAACCATGCTTATCTATAGCCAACTTATTTCACTGAGACCCATATAATGAAGTTGATTGTCGAGATGGTTTCTAAGCAGATAATGAAGGCCTATCACAGAGTCAATATTCTAGCTGAGTCAGCAGCCAAACATTTATCAGAAGAGAGAAGACTAGCAGAAGTCACGAGATTCTCTGCCTTTCTTCACCCTTTACCTGCCATTTTAGAAATAGTAACTGATCTCATTAAAGCGAGTTTTATTACGAAGAAAAACACAATATTCACCCAGACAGCTCTTTGGTACATCCCTATTAAGAACTTTACATTTTAGTGACTGTACAAGGGGCAAAATAATACCTTTCATGAATTTAACTGACACTGCATGAGTAGTATGTCACCCCACAAAGCCCTACTATTGTGCTACAGCAATAGTATCGTGCTACAGACACAGGACTTTATCCCAAACCAATCTTGCTTAACCAGTGGGGGGGAAAAGGACAATAAAAGAACTTATAGACTGCACGTGTATGGCAGATTTGGCTGGGGCATCACCGCTTAACCAATTTTAACAGCTTTGCCTGTTTGAGAAAGAATGAGGAAAAGCGATCCCTTTCAGTTCAGGCAGCTCCCGAGACAAGCACTGTTAAACGCCAGTTTCTGTAACCCACAGCAGCCTCCTCCCAGCCCCACCACTGGTACACTTCTCTACAGCTGTTTGATGCGGTGTGGCTTGGTGCACAAATCTGTATTTCACATGTTTGCATTTCTAGCAAGATTCTTTACTGCTCTGCCACTCCTTTCCACAGATATTAAAAAAAGAGCTATACAAATAATTCCTACGAAATGACAGCTCCATAAAGATTAAATGTTTGAAAACATTTATTTGGAGTAAAATACAATATACATATGAACAGGGACAGATGAACCAATAGAATGCACTATTAAGAGGCTGCCAGACAAATACAAGGCAGAGGATTACAAGTAAAAGGCTTGAGAGAAGTAAGCTGTTTTCTGGTGAGGTTACATTAAGAAAGGAGATGAAAACATCTAAAATAACTTATTTCCCAAGAAAGTTGCTCCACTAGCAACTTCCCTATGTGTTTTCAGATTATCATCTTAACGTTAAGAATACTGGTAAAATCAGAATCTGTCTTCTGATGTTCAAATTTGTTTCAAACAAATTCAAGTGAAAAAGCAACGCTTCAATTAGTGGCTTTATTTGAAAGGACCAGTGCTCCTGCTATGAAGCACATTTACCTCACTATCTAATGAACACCCTCTAGCAAATTGTTACTGACCACATTTTGCTGAGGTATGACACATCCAGTGTGAAATGAAATAACATTACCGAATCAGCCTGTTTCATTTTTCTCCTCCTACTTGTTACTTCCACTGATGGAATTTTCACATATAATGCCACTTCATGGCTACATTAACTATACAAAAGTGACAACGGCAGTTTCCGCCTCAGAGACATCAAAACCCCCTAATGCTTATTTTTCCTTTTTTTGATTTTCTTAACAAAAATAAACTCCTTTCTCTGTAGAGAATTATCTCAGTTCTTCAATAAGCTCCTGTTTGCTATTTCTGAAGGAATGTTGATGGTTTACAATTAAAAACATGTCTATGGAAACCAATACCTATAAATTGTAGGTTTTCAAGGAAGTAAGTTAGGTGTTTCAGTGTGTTATTAGTATTAATAAAAAGTTATTTTAAGCACTAGAAGCAAAAAATATACCATTCAAAACAAATATTACTGAAAAAATAATACCAGTCTACATTCTCTTTCTATGACAGCTTCAGATAGATCAGACATTTTTGGTATTTTAGTCCTCTGGTTCATATCTGAGGATTTAAAAAAAAATAAAAACAAAAAAAATCATTAAAACCAAGTACAAAATACCCAAGAGATATTTTTTATCTAAAGGAAATACGAAACGCAAGTAATAAATAACTCCCACTAGTGATGCATTCCTGTCAAGGTTCACTGTATCACTTAGGGCACAGACAAATGTATATACTTTTCAGACTATTCTTAAAATTGGCTACTTTACCAAATAGTAGAATGAGGGAATGACAAGGAACTTGCCTACAAATCCCAAAATACAGGCAGAAATTTGAACAGAAGTTTTAAGTTCACCTCTGCCCTCCTACAGCATCGGTCTAAGGCATCCCTGTTGCCAAGCTCACTTGACACTTGCAGAATGATAAGTCTTCTACGCCATATAATGGCCATGAAGCATCTTTCTTTACTCAGCACAGGCCTAACCCTCTTTACATACTGTGCACCTCTCATTCCCACAAATAAGCGTGGAAGAAATAAGATAATGCTAGAGGATCTGGTACATTTCCCATCTGTATTTCTGTGTGTAGCACCTGGGAACTTGTCTAGCACATCCATGAATATTTAGTACCCTCTCCATACTAAATTCTCTAAACACTTGCTATACGGTAGCTGCTGTTGCACACAGTCCTATTCACGTAGTATCCATTAAAAGGATAGGCTTGTCAAAAATCAGGGAACAGCCCACTGGAAATTCTTTTAAAGAGAAAATTTATAGTCTGGTTTAGATATAGCTTCACATTTATAAAAATAAAATGGGAGCAGAACATGGATCCAGAACAAGCATCCTGTTTGGATGGACAGAACAGCATCACTTACTTGGAAAGCCTTTTACGTAGATCTTTTATCTGTTCATTCTTCTTAGTGAGAATCTCTTTCATGTTGCGATAGGCAGCTGTTTGCTGGAATTTCTTCTCCAATTCCTACATAATAATAACATCAACATATTATGAAAACCAGGTTAATATGCTTTTTAAAAAAGATGACCTGCTTTTCCTCCTCAATTTACAGAATAGTAGTTTCTTTAACTTATTCAAATTTAGATGAAGTCTGCTAGTAGATTCAAATGAGATTACTGGGAGAGACAGAGAAACACAAACTTTATTTTCTAATGAAATCAGGCTAAAATTTTCTATGCAGACAAATGGGCAATTTTTAAGTATTCGTGTAGTTATAATCATGCAGCTAGTTGTGGTTTTGCTATTTTATGTATAACATGTTTTTCCACTGAAATAACAAAAATACACAGGCACAAGTGTGACCCAGTAAACTCTGCATCCCATAGTGTATGCTGGTTAAATTACTAATCAATTAAAATGGCTATACATTACAATAAAATGCTAACCTTTTCAGCTGTGGATAGCTGATCCTGAACCTTAAGCAAGTCATGTTTCGTTGTCACCAAGTTCTCTTCCAAGAATTTTTGGTTTGCAGTAGAGTCATTCAAAGTCTTCTCAAACTGAGATTTCAAAGCTGCCACCTTATTCTCCAGTTCAGTGATATCCTGGTTTCCATTAGTCTTCAACAGAAGAAATATTTGAAATACGTCAAATGCAAGAGAAACAATGTTTAAAATGTCAAGTGCAAAATTCCACACAAAGTGGGTGCATCTTAATCTTTAATAATTATGTTCATGTTATTCCTGTAAAGCCTAAATTAGAAGTGCTTTAAATAAAAAAAATAGTTAAAACACCAGCCAATTTATAACTTTAAAAAATTGTTAATAATTGCCTTTTGAAGAGGGCTGGAATGTCTTCTCTGGTAAGTTAAGATTTCAAGTTCTTCTACTTCACTTCTTTAGGAATCAGGTGAAGTCACAGGATGAAGCATATCACAAGAAGCTATTCAGCATACAGCAATAGGAAATTACAGTTTAAGATCTGAATGTCTATGCAATAGTGTATTTTTAAAGCAGGTAAAATACCACAGGCATTTCAAAAGCTGTTACTGTAATAAGGTAGGAAAGGATGAAAGTGTTAACGCTCATATTATCAACCAGGTACCGATACTGCACTGTTCTCAGATACATTACAAAAAGAGCCTCCACAGTTGCTTGTGAAGCAACTTTCCTGCTTCCCTGTGAGAAGAAACAACCCAAACTCTTCTGGCCATCAGTTCTGGGTCACAAAACATTATATTTATGTAACTATTCTATGGATTTCCATTGGAAAACAAACAAACAAACAAAACCTCTCAGGTTTAAAAGCTCAACTTCAAACTCTCAAAAGTATAGTGACTCAGGATGAGGCTGAACCAGCAGCACCTTAAAAAGATCACAAATCTAAAACTAAGGAAGCTCTGCTCCTTTTTCTATGTCGATGGTAAGATTTGAGCACAGGAAACCACTTGATAATAGTACCTGTACCGAAGAAAAGCTTATTTTGAATTTTGAGACAGAGTCCAAGGCTGCAATGCTGAAAAGCCGTACATTGTATTATGTTTCAGATCAGAATAGGCAGTGATCATTTTTCTAAACTGTGACGTAAGTCAATTATGCAAAAATTCTAAATCCTCAAGTGAAACCCATCCAACAGAGCAGTTACTCCCAAACTGTGGTTCACACTTGGTGTGTGGAACTGTATTAATTATTATTAAAAAAAAAAAAAAAGAAAAGAAAAAAAGGTAGAAATCAGCTGAGCTAAGAGTTGGTTCTTAAGAACCATTGTGGTTTGGCAGTCATTTGTTTAATCAAAGAGTCTGAAAACTACTGCTTTAACGAGCAACCGGGTTCATACAATTTTATTGACACCCAGCCTATAAAAATGTGGAGTGAAAACAGATAAAATTCAGCACTTTCTCCAAACAACGAATACTTTAATTGATTAAATAAAGTAGTACATTTCAGCACTATGTCTACTAGCTAGTTTCAATTCAACAAGACATATATGCCTGGAAATAGAAAATGTAAGAGTTGGAGAAGAAAGTGACAGATTATAGAGAGCAAATTAGGACATGAAACTGAAGGTACTCAGCAGCCCTGACATTGAGGCCAATTCATCTTTAACCAGAAAAGTAGGATGACATTTGGTTCCAGATTTTTGAAACGACAAACAATATTATCCAAGCTTTAATAAACCCCTTTAATATTTTAAACCTTTAATAATTTAAGCCTTAACAAAACAGATAAAGAAAATATTTGCCAAGACTGATAAATCAAGTTCCCTATTAAATAGTATTATTGAATACAGATTTTGAAAGTTACTAGATAAAACTATAACATATTAAGAAAGCCAAGTACATACCATAAACCAGTTAGAAAGCAAAATAAAAAGAAATTGGGATTAAAATATGAAAATTAAAGTGGAAATGTTTTATGATATTGAACTTCACTTCCAAATCGGTAAGTACTGCAGGAATCTTAAAGAGTCAATTTCTCAAAATAATCGGATTAAAGTGTTCTAATTTTGTTAAAAGTCTGAACTGAAATGTTTTAAATTTAAGAAACAAACTTTAGAAAATTCTAATTATTGACAAAATAAAAAGTTACAAACAAAAAAATACTAAGGTGACCTGAACAGATTTATCTGTGTCAACCTGCATGACTTCTAGCTTCTTACGTTTTTTTTTTCCTGCAGCAGCAACTCACCATGTTTGAATCCTCATTTACAAAAAAGCTTAAGAACTTCAAGGAGTAAAGGTAAATAGTAAACCTTTTTTGACAGTATGCTGATATGGGTACAGCCACATTAAAAAAAAATAATAAAAAAAAAAAAATCAAACATTTGCCATCTGACCCATGATCATTGACATTTGGACTCTTACATATAAGTATTTAGGTTTTAAAGTCTGAAGTGAGAAGCAGCAAGTCTGGCTTGTCCATGCCTATATCAAGTGTGACAAAGGTGTGAAAGAATTAGCGGTTTATTGCTGCTATAAAACCCAGGCTAGATATCATTCTTTCATTAGTAAACAGGAAGAAACAAACAGAAATAAATCTGTATCTGTTAATACAAATAACACCCCTGAGAATATGAACTGTGAAATACTACCTCCTGATAGTACCTGGAATAATACTTTCTGATAATAATTTATCATGGTCTATGTGACACAAAATACGTGTCATATAACATCAACTCATGTTCTGGATTATCTGATGACAGAGCAGCTGGAACAGACAATGTGAGCAAGAACGCGACAATACTAACTTGAACTTTTGTATTTGCCAGAAAAGAAACACACCTTATAGACCAACTTTTTAGATGTACAGGCAACAGTTGTGTTCACCCGGGGTGGTGGTGGAGGAATTCTTAATTATATTTACCTTTTGATCTCCTTGGATCATCTGTAAATCCTTCAGTGACTTCTCTAGCTTGGCCTTCTCATCTAGTGCAGCTGTAGCCTGTGATACATTGAAAACACAAAACATCAGAAACTTATTTTAACTGAAAGTATGAGAGTAACAACCATGGGATTCTTATTTAGATATTTTTTAATATGTAAACAGCATTAAGTATCCAAGCTTACACGGAATTTACCTGTGTTTCTATGGTCTTGAGTCTGGTCTTCAACTTTTCATTTTCTTCTTGGAGACAAGCAACTGTCTTTGGGTTAACGAACAAGAAATGGTTTGTGAACACCCTTGTGCTATTTTGAATTTTCCAAATATTTCAGGTAAGAAAATATGCTTCATGGCTTAGGAAAGCAAAGAAGCTTCTGAATGCTTATCAAAATGGCCTTCACAAGAAATCAGTAATCCATTTATTTATTGTGTTTTCTGCCTCAGTCAGCAAGAAATTTAAGCCTCCAATTCTACTGTAATACATAGGACCATTCACTTAAATTTGGTTCATGCTTTACTGAATTGAGATTAGCGAGCTCAGCATCTTGTTAGTATCAAGATTCATGATAAAGAAAATTGCACATTCAGAGATGCAAATCTCATTGCTGCTCATCATTTGTATTTTCAATCAACAGGCAAGTAAGAATTTATTCATAGTTCCTGTTTAAAAGAGACAAATACCAGGTTACTGCAGGTAATCAGGTTCTGTGTCACAGGAAATAACCATGTTTTATCAGTCAGAGTAAATTCACCATATAAACTTTGAATTATTTTTGAGGGGAAAAAAAAAAAAAGACATCAGATGCACATACTCAACAAGAATTGTTATGAAACAGATTTTGAAATTATTTTTGAAAGAGCACTACATTGATCTATGGGTAAAATACAAGTCTGAATTCTTGAATGCTTTAATTATCTTAACGGATAACAACAATTTGATTCAGACACTGTACTTGATAGATCATTTTGGTAATGCAGGCTAGAAGACAGAAAACACAACTCCTTGCTAAATATCTTGACTGCCCATAATTTAAAAGCGTATTGTAAGAAGTGTGGCATTTTTTAAAAGTTCAGTTGAAGGAAATAAAAACTACTGATAACTTTAAATACAAGACAGTGTTTTAGAATTCTGAAATCTTTAGCAAATGGCAAGTCAGTCATTTTCAAAACTAGTAAATTCCAAATCCTTTAAGTGTGTATTTCTTTAGGAGGAATTTAACCAACTAACAAAAGAAAAAAGACTGAATGTAGTAAGATTGACCTTGAGTGATACAGAAAATGTTCAATAACCTAATGATTTCAGCCAGCTACATATTTTAACTTACTTCCTTGTTGGAAAGCCAGCCAGCTGCATGGAACAAACTGAATACTGGTTTCTACTAATTTACCTCACTAAATAGAAAAATAAGTAATTACAAAGGCCAAAATGTTTTTGCAAAAGGAAAGTCAATATTGCAATACATAACCACACAATAAATTTAAGATACTTTATAATATTTATTAATTTATTAGCATTTTATATTACTATATAGACGTCAAGGTAATAATACACCCCCGAATGTGACAGGCACAACATACAAGTATTACTGCACAGCTATCCAGCTCAGTTGAATAAGCAGAATGATCACTGACCACAACTGCACAAAGAGACAACTTCTTACCTTGTTTAGCAGCTCTGACCCACCTTCATTTAATGGAGCCAGTTTTGGTTTAATGAGATCTGCACTGGGCTAAAGAAATAATAAAGGTAAAGATTAAATTATACAGATTTCTAGGAGAAAGAGAAGTATACCTTTAGCCTGTAAAACAACTATTGACAGTTAATTCACCTTTCTTTTGTAAAGCAAACAAACGATTTTTTATTTCAAGTTCATTTTTTACTGGTACCTTGGCTCCTAAGTTATATACTACACTTTCAGCTAAAGTTAAACAAAAATGCTGCATAGAGACATAAAAGGATGGCAAACTTGAATTTACAAAAGACTACTGACGCTGCAGCAACCAAAAGACAAAGGAGTAAAGAAAACAGAAAAAATAATATTTCAATGATTGTAAGAGTAAAAAATATTTACACAGCTCCAAATTATTTTGTTATTTTAAGTATTCAAATATAATATATATTAACTAAATATACCTTTACGCTACAAACCAAATAAGGTGCAATCATAATCATACAAGATAATCTAGTGTCATATGTGTATTGTGGAATCTTCTCAGCTCTTGACTCCACCCTGGGACAAGCGTATGTCCCAGTCTTACCCCAGTCTCCAGGGAGAAGGGAATGCAGGAGCAGACGCTCCAACGCATCCCTGGGCTGGCTGACTTTGGGATGAGGATTATGAGGTATGGCCCAGATGTGCAGAATCTGCAATCTGGAAACAGCCATGGCAATTCAGTGTGAGCCTTGGTGCCAAACTGCCACTTTTCGAGACTTTCAGGGATTATTTTGAAAAAGGGTAGGTTTTTCTGTTTTTCTCTCTTACGCACAAAGAGTCAGTACTAAGTATTTTAAACATGTCATGACTCCACATGATGTATGATTATGATTTGATTAAAATAAAACTCTACCTTCTTGTTCGAAGACGTAAATTCTGACTTTTCAAACTCAGCAACCTGTTCCAACAATTCTCTTGAAAAGAAAAATAAAGGGAGGCATTTATTTACTAAAAAAGCTATGCTATGAAACACATTTTACCAGGCTGATACTATGCCCTTTATTGCACATAAGATTCTTGTTAGAAGTACAGAATGAAGTCTTATGTAAATACAATAAATGCAACAGGTCATGTCATGCAATGGTATGGTATATGCATCAGAACTGTAAGATTTAGCATCCTTGATTAAAATATAATCTACTCAGATAACAATGGCTTTTTCATCAAGCCCTATCACCTGCTCTTAACAGATTAATTCAAGTAAGAATAGTACCAATAAAAACATCTTCCTGACAAATTTCAAATTCTTGCGTATCTTGCTACTTTATAGATGGAGGACATGAAACTAACGTATCATCGATACAATAGCAAAAGAATAGGTTTCTAAGGCCAGGAAAAGAATGCAAACAGTCAACACTTTGAAGTTTTCTTATTATTGAAAGGCATTCTGTATAGTCCAATATATGTTACCGATTCTCCAATTCAGAGACGTCTGTCTGTAACTTAAGGTACCATTTCTCAGCTTGCGAAAAGAGCTGCCGCAGAAGTAAAACATTGGTGTAAGTTGTATTTATGAGCTCTGACTCCACTTCGCTGTGTACAACAGTCCGCAGTCCATCCAGCATGTCTGTCACCTCATCGACTGTGAAGGTCTCCTCAACCAGCCTAAACAGAGTAGGCAAGATGAGTCATGTGTGATAAAGGTAACAATTTTGCACTGTTATGAGATCTCACTACACAGGTATCACTCTTATATAGTGCACTGTTCTTCTGAAAACATCCACTGTCAGTAGTTATCAGATGACCATGGCACTACTAATTGGCTCCTGTATTTAAACTTTCTCTTGGAAACACTGCAATCACAAATATTACTTCAGCTACAGTCTTGCATCAAATTTAGACATCAGAAGCAAGATATAAAACAATGCCATGCTGTCAATATCTATGTTAATTCCTAAGATTCTGAACAACTTAGTTTTAAAAGGACTTGACTTGTAACATTTGGAAAATTATTGGGTCTTTCTTCCTCACTAAGAACATACAAAAGTAAAAACAGATAAGAGTCATCCCATAAAGCACTTAAACCAGCAACTCTTGCTAGCATATTTTGCTCTATTCTTGCTCAGAACCATCCCCCACTGTACCTGCTGTCCTTAAGGTCTTGAAAACAAGAATCCACTGTTTTGAGACACAGGCCACGTTTGAAACGAGCAAAGCGCATGTAGTTGATTGCTTCATTCTGGTGGTGCTCGTTAAGGCCTAGCTCTGCCTGTCGATAAGGATATAAGAACAAAGACAAACATACACTGAAATAAGTAAAAAGGAACGTAAGTATTGTGAGGACTTGCCTTCTGACTAGTTTCTGCGCTTGCTTTCACAGGGTTACCATGTTAACCAGTATGTTAAAGAAGAACCATATTTTCATATGTATAATCCCTAGATACGTCACATAAGTGGTCCCCCTTTAAAAGCACCAGTACCTGGAAGTAAGGCCTCAAGTGACAAGTACCCTCAGAAAAGTCATACAAAGTCAGACAGAAACAATCAGAGGATCAGAACCAGAAGGACTGTAGGGGAGAGGAAGCTCTCGGATAAATTTGTCTTTCTATTACATGTACATGTGTATGATGTAGCTGAATGATGTATCTTTTATAGATGTACTAACAAAAATACACAGGAAGGTATGTTATGTTTCTCTGTTAGTTTATATGTAAAACGTTAAGACTTCTCATATAATCTTGAATAATAATTTGAATTTGTTTCTCAACAGCCTATTGCCCAGAAACAAATATTCCCGGGGGAAATTAAGAAGGAAGCATTTTTAGATTCAGCTAACTAGCCCTTCTATGTATTCCTTTATTTCAAAAGAAATTGGCACGGCCAATTACGTTAGAATAAATCTTGCTCCTGCAGGCGGCACGAGTCAGAAGGAGGCACAACAGGGCATGAGTGGGAGTTTCTCATCACAGTCCCTGGTGAGCTGATGCAACCAAAGGAGAAGTCCATTTCGTTTACTCCAACGTACTTAGCATTGCTGGTATTGGGGACAGCAAGGTAGCAACTCAGGACAGTCAATCTGATCACCTTGTCCTTATTAATCCAACTGTGCAGAGCAGCTCCAGTGAAAATGCAATACTGCGATACCTGGATGAACAATACTGAAAACGTGAGCACAGATCTCCACTGCCTGGAAAATAAAGGCAGCCTAGGAAACAGCAATAAATAAAACAAGCTCTCATAATGTGGTTGCAAGTCCAGTGCAATGTCTCCCATAAAGTCCCACATGTGGCAAATGAGAGATCGTGAAAAGCTCAATTAACGTTCTCTTTGCTGTTGCTGGGTTTTCTTTAGGGGAAAATTTTCTGTTCACTACAGGTATAAAGGAAGGCATATGCTGAAAACTCACAACCTAGAAACCAGCCTCAAAAGGAAATTAAACTAAACTAACAAATGAACACGTAAGCACAGGCCAAAGCCACCCGTGACCCGTCAGTCAGGTACGCTGACACGCAGCGAAGCAACCGGGGCGTTGGATCCCGCAAAAACCCCAAGCCCCAGCGCTCCCCGCAGGGCCCAGCCGGGGAGGCACGGACGCCCAGGACGGCAGGCGGCAGCAGCAGACGGCTTGAGTGGCTCCCGCACGACGA